AGCGTCAGAGGCATCGGGAATTACCATGCAAAATGTAAGCAAAATTGTTGAGCAGCATGTGAAAAACATGAGTAATAGTTTGTTGACACAGCTTTCGGAAAAAATGGCGCAATTAAACGAAACTAATATTGGCGCACGTTTTCCCCAAGTATCTGAGCAGAATGTCCCGGAAGAACAAGTGCAGGAATTTCAGTCCTTGAGACGCATTCAGCAGTGGGTTCGGACTTAGGACAGAGGCCTGATAAAGTTGGCCATATTATTAATGGATGGAAGCTGAGATTTAATGGTCACGATGGGTTAAGCGTTGATAACTTCATATATAGAGTAGAGGCGTTGACTCACCAAACTCTAGAGGGAAATTTTTCGGTGTTGTGCAGCAATGATAGTATATTGTTCGACGGCAAGGCCCGGGAGTTCTATTGGAGGTATCACAAATCTTCGAGGAGTTTGGGGTGGATCTCTTTGTGTGAAGCTTTGCGCAAGCAGTTTAGAGATACTCGAACCGATGTAGACTTTAGAGAAGCGATCCGGAGATCGAAAAGAAAGAGAAAATTTCGATAGCTTTTATGATGCGGTGTTCAGATAGCTGATTGTTAGAGGTACCTATGCCGGAGAAGACTTGGTAAGACGCTTCGCAGGAATCTCAGGCCAGAGATTAGGCCATGAACTACTGAACGTGAGCGTTGACTCCATAGCAAAACTTCAGGATATTTGTCGACGCAGAGAGAGCTTTCTCGAGGATGTGAGGCGAAGTTATGGTTACCAGAAACCCACACCATTCCGTCGGCAGGTATCAGAGTTGGTGCAGGAGAGCCTTGGAGAGGACGCAACAGAGTTTTCCGATGGCGAATTAACAGTCGAGGTCGAAGCCCTAGCATTGGTTTGTTGGAATTGCAGGAGAGAAGGCCACCGTTATGTCGATTGTGGCGAAAAGAAGAAAATCTTTTGTTATGGTTGTGGTCTTCCGAATATTTATAAGCCCTCATGCTCTAAATGTCAAAAAAACGGGATGACGAGCACACGGCCACGTCAACAGTCGTGTGTTCCTCGCCAAAAGTCGACAATTTCCGAGATAACTCAATAACCAACATAGATTCATCGACACTAGCTAAGACAAACGAATGCGAAGCAGTTGTTAAACCCATTCGGTTCTGGCCACAGCTTGTACAGGAAAGGCAGACTAGTATGGATCCAGGTCAAAGAAAGCGCTGTTCCAGAAATGTAAACAGAATTAGAACATTTTGGCAAGCAACCAAAACAATAGAAGCCATAAGACATAAGAGCTACGATAAGCGGCCGTACGCGGAAGTTCGCTTGTTGGGTCAATGGGTGTTAGGCTCTTAGACACGGGAGCCGCGATAAGTGCCATAGGAGGAAAATTGGCCGAACAGGTTATTAGAAACCGGATAAGGTTTAAAAAGGTTCTGGGATCTGCTAGTACTGCAGATGGTAGGAAGCAGGACGTGGTTGGCCGTTTAAAGACAATAGTCCAATATGATGACGTTGTCAAGGAGTTGGATCTACACATAATCCCATCTCTTAGTCAGGAGCTGTATTTAGGTATCGACTTTTGGAAGGCTTTCGACCTCCTGCCACCCGATATGAATATAGCTGAACTAGCAGACAATTCTCATGCCTTGTCTGACCAGCAGAGCAATGAGTTGAAGGCAGTGATCAACAAATTTCCGTCCTTCGCAATCTCTGGTTTGGGAAAGACGAGCCTCATATCGCACTCGATCGACATTGGCGATGCAAGGCCGGTTAAGCAGCGGCATTTCCCTGTATCTCCAGCGGTGGAAAAACTCTTATACGCTGAGGTGGATAGAATGCTCAAGCTTGGGGTCATCGAAGAGTCAGATAGTGCATGGTCATCGCCGGTGGTACTAGTTCAGAAACCAGGAAAGGTACGGTTATGTCTGGATAGCAGGAAAGTGAACATGGTTACCACAAAAGATGCTTACCCTCTCCCACAGATAGATGGCATTCTAAGTAGATTACCTAAGGCAAATTTTATATCCAGTCTGGATCTGAAGGATGCCTATTGGCAGATACCTTTGGATCCCGCTTCGCGTGATAAAACTGCATTCACGATACCGGGGAAACCCCTCTATCAGTACAAGGTTATGCCATTTGGCTTGACCAACGCTTCGCAGACCATGACAAGACTCATGGATAAGGTGATACCTGCTCATCTCAGAAACGCAGTCTTCGTCTATTTGGACGATTTGCTTATTGTGTCCGACAGTTTGGAGGAGCATTTGAAAGTGTTAAGTGAAGTGGCAGGATGCATCAAATCAGCGGGTCTAACTCTGAATGTGGAGAAAAGCAAGTTCTGCATGAAGAGCGTGAAGTACCTTGGGCATATTGTAGGTGAAGGTGTTGTACGTACTGACCCAGAGAAAATAGCTGCTATGACGGAATTTCCATTGCCCAAGTCGTTAAAAGCTCTTAGAAGGTTTTTGGGAATGGTGGGATGGTATCGAAAGTTTGTAAACAATTTCGCTGCGGTTTCAGCACCCCTTACTGACCTATTGAAGCCGAAAAGGAAGTTTTCGATGACACCAGAAGGACAGCAGGCTTTCGAAAAATTGAAAGAGATGTTGAGTTCAGCTCCAGTATTGCGCAGCCCGGATTTCAGCCAACCTTTTTACATCCATTGCGATGCGAGCAAGACAGGTGTGGGCGGTGTTCTAGTACAGAAATCCGAGAATGGAGACGAATTCCCCATAGCCTTTGTGTCTAAAAAGCTGAATAAGGCGCAGAAAAATTATTCGGTGACTGAGCAGGAGTGTCTAGCTGCCATTATATGCGTTAAACGTTTCCGAGCATACGTAGAGGGCCATGAGTTCACCATAGTTACTGACCACGCATCTTTGAAGTGGCTTATGTCACAGACAGATCTGCACTCTCGGTTAGCACGATGGGCGTTAAAGTTGCAGGCTTTTAACTTCAAAATTGAACACCGAAGCGGTAAGCTCAATGTCGTCCCGGACGCTTTGTCGAGGGTAAATGAGGAAGAGGTAGCAGCATTAGACGCTAGTCACGGATTACTGGTGGACTTGGATTCGCCGCATTTTAAGGATGCAGATTACTTAGAGCTGATTTTGAGAGTAGAGGCCAACGCTGACAAGCTTCCGGATCTAAAAGTATCAGACGGTCTAGTGTATCGGAGAGGGGAACACACTTCAGGAGATGCTATTCACGATACCTTCTGTTGGAAATTGTGGGTACCTCAAGGTTTGGTTCCAGAGGCTTTGAAGAAGGCTCATAATGACCCCTTGGCATCTCATGGGGGTGTTCACAAAACGCTAGAAAGATTGAGACGATATTATTATTGGCCAGGGCTGGTAAGGGACGTCAAACAGTACATTGAAGGGTGCATCACTTGCAAAACGACAAAGGCACCGAATAAGACATTACGTCCACCTATGGGTGCGCAGCCAGAATCTAGTAGACCTTTCCAGAAGTTGTACGTGGATTTTCTAGGCCCTATCCTCGCTCGAGGAGTGGCAATATCGGAATTTTCATAGTTTTGGATCATTATAGCAAGTTCGTGTTCCTAAAAGCCGTGAAGAAGTTGACAGCCGATGTGGTGGTAAAGTATTTGCAGCAAGACCTTTTCCATACTTTTGGGGTTCCTGAGACCATTGTGTCCGACAACGGGTCGCAATTCAAGTCTGAAGCGTTTCAGAAGCTGCTTAGAGAGCGAATTTCTCACACCCTTACGGCGGTATACTCACCGCAAGCGAATGCTTCAGAACGGGTTAATCGGTCTGTCATTGCAGCCATTAGGTCATATGTACGGAGCGATCAGAAAGACTGGGATGAACAACTTAGCAGCATCTGCTGTGCGCTCAGATCGGCGATCCATTCCAGCCTGGGGACAACTCCGTACTATATGGTGTTTGGCCAGCACTTCATTGCGTCAGGGGCAACCTTTAAATTGCTGAGGGCCTTGAACTTACTAGAAGACAGGACCATGGCGTTTTCGCGGAAGGACTCATTTGAGTTGGTACGCAATAAGGCGTTGGAAGTGATAAAAAAGCAGTTCGAGAAAAATGAACGACAGTAAATCTGCGCTCGAGGCCGGTATCCTATGAAGAGGGCCAGGAAATATTCAGGAGGAATTTCAAGCAAAGCAATTTCCAGGCCGGCTACAACGCCAAATTGGGACCAGCATTTATTAAAGCTCGGGTCAAAAGGAAAATCGGGCAGGCCTATTACGATCTAGAGGATTTGCAGGGCAGATATATAGGAAGGTATCATGCGAAGGACATGAAACAATAGCGTATCCACAGCAATCGCTGGTAGGCTCATTCTTGGGAATCTGACTCCCAAGTATGATCTTAAGGGGGGGCATTTTTGTAGCGCTTGCTTTAGCAGAAGCGGCTCCATCTGTGTTTCATAGAGACACAGGGGTGGCGCCATCTAGCATTCGTGCGCAGAAAGGTTCTGCTGCAGTTTTCGGAATGAGTGAGAGCAACAGGGGCAAATGTCAGGCTTTCTCAAGACTAGTTTTTCACCTCATACTCCGGGATTTGGGTTGCCGCCTGAATTGTGGCGTCAAGGAGCGGAAAAGAGGCCCAGTTCCGGGCCCCGCCAGCAGCATTGCCTTTGGGGCGATAGGAGAAGTCCCGACCTACATCACCATTTTCGTCTTCTAGCTTATAAATAAAAGCTTTTGCTTGGGCATCGTTCGTCGTTTAAACGAGAGCCAAGGGCGGTATTTCGATCGCGCTGTAAGACGTTCGGTCCGTCGCGGAACCGCGGCGGAGTTTTTCTTCAAGAGCCGTAAATTTGCACCGTAAAATGCCGTAGAACTAAAATAAAGTTCAAAGGGGGAAATCTAAAGAGTTAAGCCCTCCATCGGTTTTGTGACCCCGCCCGGGTGAAGCAGTTTTGAGAGAATTTGCGATCCCTTACATTCGGACCTAACCTCCAGAGAGTATGGAAATTTGTTAAAGACATGTCAAGGGAAAAAGATTGTTATGCAACACGGTAGTTTAAGTGTAATGTTTAATGTAAAAGAATTTGTTTGTTGATTGATGGCGAAGCGATTTAAAATCGGGCAAGGAGGCAGAGTCGGCGCCGTTTTTTTTTGTGCAGTGCATTCTGGTCGTGTAAATTAAATCATTTTGAGTTTATCATTATCCATATATTTTCCCGCAGCTAGCCACTAGCATCTTCGGTGAAAGCGCTTTCTTCGTTGGATGTTCCTGTGAGCGGTGAGTGTTAAGATTTTTATATTTGAAAGAACAGAAAACAAATTCAAGACGATGTAAAGAGAAAAGAAGAAAATAAAACTAAATTACACTTTACCCAATTGGCCTGCAGTCTGAAAATCGGATGACAAATCCTCTCCTTGCGATTTTTTTTTATTGACAGTTTTATTCTTCTTGATTAATTGTTTCTTACCTCTTCGCATTATAAAGTCATAAAGTAAATTTAAATTGAATTTCCGCCGCATAAACACAATTTCATTTAAAATGATGCTCATTTAACTAATCGTATCATTATATACTCTTGCATGCTTAGATTTAAGATATGATTCTCTTTGTTTACTCTTTTTAGCTGGTAATAAATTTTTGTAATGTGCTAAATTATCAATCTGTTGCCGCAGCTAGAATGATTCCCGATAGGGTAGCTCGTTAGATGGGGTCGTTCGGACGTGTGGGAGAGAACGGCCAATGGTTGGGTGGGCATGATAGAGCCTCGAAACATCTAACGAGGTGAATGTGAGACTCGGTTAGGGTATTAGGGGAATTTTAGACTTTCCTTTCGATTTTATATTGTTGCTCATTTCCGAATTCAGCTTGTCTAGCAGCGAAGTTAGATTTCAATTATCGTTAACAAATAGGCACTTCATGGGGTTAGGCATTTTTCATCCACTTCCACAGCCGACAAGCGCCACCCGAGTAGACCCGCGTGCGCTTGACCACCACGGTACCACCTCCGCCTGAAGTTAATTTGAATGTGGCGACTCGTTACAATGTGTAAAGGGTCAACCACCTTGGAAAAACTAGCTAGTTTGGCGAGAGCAGCTATAAATAGCTATTTTTAGAAAACGCCTACCTTGTAAACTACTAAAGCTATAGGCTTGTGAAACGACTTTTATTCCGTATCTGCTTATAAAACTTCTACCGAAAACTAAAATGTACTCTTTTCCAACACAGTGACTGTGACTTTGGACGACAGAGCACTTTGTGACGAAGCCCACTGCATCACTGCTGTGATGGTCCGATCATAACTAGTGGTACAAAAATCAAAAGATATTGCAAAACCTTAAATAAAAACCTTGCATACAAAGACTGTAATAATTTTAATTTGTTTGGGAAATTGAACGGTGATAGTGTAAAGTAAAAATTAAAAAAATTGAAGCTTCAAAACAGTAAGCGGGTGGCATTGGGTCTCAAACCTGCGCCATTTCGATTTCTAACCTAACGCTTTAACCGTCTGCTCTATATTCTGAAATCGCATATTTTAATATAAAAAGTCATACAAACGCAAATATTTTTGTTCTTCAGGAAATACATTTATTTTTATAAAACCTTTCAGCATTGGAGAACATTGCTATTTTGTTGGGGTTACTCTAATTTTAGCGTTAAGCTGTTAAACTTTAAAAAAAGGAGAAGGCGATAGCCTTCCACTAGTTAATAACGACTTTCTAAAATTTGGTTATTAATTTAATTTTGAGTGTTTCGCCTTTTGATAAGCAAACAATTAGTTTTATTTTTGTGTGTTTTGTGAAACTCAGTTGACTTTTACCCATGGTAAAATCAACATGTAGTTTAATGTAAAAAGGCAAATCGCAAAAATTGGGCAGTGCGTCTAAGTCTGGAATGAGTCTACCACTTGCGGGTCGTCCAAGAGATTTTATATATTTAAAGTGTCATGCCCACTTACCTATTGATTGATCTTTTTTTACGTTTTTACGTTTTTAACGCATATTAAGCTAAATTTTTATAAGATATAGTTTGGGATATTTCTAATTTTTACATACCTTTTTCCATACAAACGGACGACAAAACAACCAGTGAGTCCATAAAAAAGTCACAGCTAAAATGCATAGGTATATAAAACAATCCGGATCGATCGATTTCCAATACTTCGTAAGCTTTTTCATTAAAAAACAGATGGTCGACACAGTATTCATCTAAATTTGTTATAACAAAACAATAATAATTTTAGATTTTAAATTATGATGCTTAAATTAAAGATAATATGCGCAGCCCAGCATAATATATACTTCGAACAATGTGTGTATATTCTCTTCGTGTAATTAAACTTTATTCCTTAGCAATTACAACTTGATCAGTCTTGACTTTTATTTTACTATTGATTAATGCATACTAATTTTCAGTTCAAAAAATTAATTCGAGGGAACTTTAAAATACATTAGTTGACAAATTTTTGGAATAATTATCGGTTTCGGGGAAACGAACTTATTTGAGCTCTTCTAGCGAATGAATCCTTACAATTTATGTGGTCGGAAAATTTTTATATATAATTATATCAGCCTGTAAAATTCTGCGAGAAACTACAATATCAATTGAAAATAAAATATAAGTTCAGCATATTTGTGGATAAGGGTGGACCTCAGCTTTGGAAAATGTTGTTGTAAAAGTTTTGACTTAAATATAGAAATGAGGTTATCTATTTTTCGTAGGATGCACGTTATTCACAATATAAATTCAGATCAGCTTGTAGCCGAGAGAAGGTAGGAAATATCCGGTACATTTTGACTTTTATGCACTATTAGAAAGGGGTTCTACATTTTATGGAATTGGTATGGATAGTCGAAATATCTGATTGAGATTTATAAATATGGGAATGGACGAATATTTTTACAATTATGTAGGGAGAAGGAAGGCGATGTTATGCGTGAGGCGGGGAGAAAAAGCCGATTTTCTCGGAAATATAATATTTTTGCGTTTACGGATATTAGTCAGAATTTGCAACGCAGTTCCCAACCCCATTAAGAACATGTATTCTTAATCAGCAGCACCAGAGGATTCGATCTGGCCTAGTCTGTCTGTCCATTTCGGAATGAAACCTTCCGAAAAGTCTTTTTTCTATTGCAGGTAGTATATAAATAAGTATATTATAGCTTTAATGTTCTCTGTCAAATTATTTTCTACTCTTAAAAATATTATATTTTTAGTATCTCAGAATTACGAATTCAATTTTTTACTACTCTCCTTTTTTCTACTTTTAAACATATTCTATTTTTAGTATTTCAGAATTACGAATTCAATATTTTTAATCGCTGACACATCTTATAGCTGCCATAAGAACGTGGGATTTCGGCATTTTCAGGATGACGAACGCGAAGGAGTATTAATTGGTAGTTTTTATACCCGTTAATCGTTAGACTAAAAGTGTATATATTCTTGATCAGGATCATTAGTCGAGCGATCTATCCTTGTCCGTCCGTATGAAGGGTGTGATCTCGGAAACTACAAAAGCTCAAAATTAGGGATTAGGAATGCAGATTCTAGAGATTATACGGAAGTTTGTTTTAGCAGAGTGCCACGACACTCTAACGCCCCACAAACCCGTCTAGCATCCACATTTCGTAAAATATCATTACTTATCTATATGCCCAAAAATGATTGAAATCATATCATTAATAAGGTTAAAGCCAAGTAAAAGTCAATATTTTGCAAATTCAATCGAGACTACACACCACAATCCAGCAAATAAGAGTGTTCTGGAATGTTGTGGAACACTCCCCCTCCCACTTCCCCTCCCGCTTGTCCACGGACGCCACCGCTCCCACTTCCTCTCCCCCGCTTGTCCTCCCGTGTTATCGTGAAACATTGTTATATATATTGTTATCACTTACCCCAAGTACTTATTTTATTTAAATATGCATAAGTATTTATCGCAAACTTTCTGACAGTAATTATTTTATTAAATACATTTTATCGCAAACTTTCTCAGATTTTTTCGTCTCGCAAACTAGTATAAATATGAGATGTAGAGTACTACCAGTAATTCAGGAAAGCAGAAGTCAAATTCAGAGCCAAGAAGTCACTCGCACTATTTGAAGAATCCGTCATCATCATCATCAGCAGCAGCATGTCTAACTTTGCAGATCAATGGAACGAGCTTGGCGCCCGTCTCTCTACCCCCAATAAAGAGTGTTAAAGCTCTCCCGTTCAACACACCCGATCCCGATACAGAACGCCCGAAGTAAAACGGACACGCTTCGGGATAAAATTATGCTTACGTGTGAAGACTTTGTGGTATTTCTACCAGAACGCTTTAGTACGCCTGCAACCGAAAGCTGTGAAGCACAATTATACTTTAAACTTTTGTAACGAAGAAGAAAAATAAAACGAAAAAATCCACTAAACTTTTTAATTAATATTTAAAAACAAAAATGGCTGGTGTTTTACATAACAATAACCAATCCTGGGCCTAGTAACAATCCTGTCGCTAGTGAAATACGATATTGTGATGTCTGTAATCTAAATGTTGCTAAAATTATTTGGTCGCATCACTTACGCACCAACTTGCATAAACAATTATCTGGTGCGCAAATAAGTGAAACTTGCGGTGTATAAGAAGTGCATTTCCGCAATCGTATCGAAACTTACATATATAATCACAAATCACAATAAAGAATGCTTGGATATCAAATTATTTCAACGATAAATCAAAGAACAAGTGATCACTCTACTCCAAGAAACTCAAAAAAATCACGTCCAATATCAAATTTAATTTTGAACAATTCTGTAATTTAGTTTTGATTAAAGAGAGTGAAGATCATTGTGAAATAAATCTAAAGTCATTTCAAATAAAAATGCAAGCCTTGAATCCAACAACGAGTCAGACTGAAAATCTAAATGAAAAAACGAAAAATTTAAATGACTATATAAAAAGTGAAATGAGCGAGTTTCAAGAACGAGACAGTGGTTGGTTCCTTATTGAAATAGTTCATTTAGAAGATAATATAAATAAATATCAGCTCATAAAGGGCTCGAATTTAATTGATTTTCCAAGAGAAATAGTAAACAGAAAAGCCCTGCATCAACGTGCAAAATAGAGACGAATATTGTTTTAAATGGGCATTAATATCGGCTTTTGTGAAATTTCCTTGTAAGAATCGACCCAATCAATATAAACGTAAAGGCATTTACAACATTAGGTCGGATATAATAAATATAAATAATAAATCGTTAAATTTTAGTGGGTTAAAATTTCCCACACCGGTCGACAGCATAACAATATTTGAAGAAAATAATCCTGAAATTAGTATAGCTGTGTTGGGTGTAGACATCGATGAAAAGACAATCATCGGTCCACATTATTTAACTAATAATAAAACTAGCAACGTCTTACACACTATATATCTACTACTTCTCGAGAAGGATGACAAATATCACTATGCTTGGATTAAAAATATTTCCAAGTAAGTATTAAATTAGAAAATTAAAAAAAACAAGGGAGAACGCTATAGTCGAGTACCTCGACTATCAGATACCCGTTACTCAGCTAAATGGAGATATGCAAGCAGCAAAGCGAGATTAAAATGCGCCACCTACCGGCGGTATACAGATTTAAGCGTTATGGGCGTTAGAGTGGGCGTGGCAAATTTTTGGATCAATCGATAGGTATTGACGAGACCAATACATTTCAGTTAAAAATTTCTATCTAGCATCAAAACTGTAGGAGCCACAGTTTTGGGCGGTTTGTGGGCGTTAGAGTGGGCGTGGCAGTCTACTGAAACAAACTTGCGCTGCGTAGGAAGCTCAGGAATCTGCACGCCAAATCTCAATAGCCTAGCTCCCATAGTTTCCGAGATCTCAGCGTTCATCCGGACAGACGGACATGGCTAGATCGACTCGGCTAGTGATCCTGATCAAGAATATATATACTTTGTGGGAAACGCTTACTTCTGCCTGTTACATACTTTCCGCCGAATCTAGTATACCCTTTTACTCTACGAGTAACGGGTATAATGATATATATTTATTTGCTTCTCCATTAGATTACTTCGCAAACAAATAACGAAAAGTACGAGAAAGATTCTTCTATGCAATGGCTGTTTTCAACATTTTGACGGTAGCGACAAACGGGAACGACATATTATGGAGTGTAATAGAGTTATAACTGAGATGCCCTCAAATGATACGGCGATTTTAAGATTTAAAAAATTTTAAAAATCAATTAGATGTTCCTTTAGAAGGGATGGATCTGAAAACTTCGGATAACGTAAATATAATTCAAAAGCGTATACCGTATGCATATAGTTATTATATAAAGTGTCCAATTGACAATAGTTTGGATATATATCGGATAAATTATGGTGAAGATTGTGCAGCTCATTTTGTTGAGAGCATATATAACGATTGTTTAATGTTATATCAAAATCACTTAAATGTAACGATACCGTTATATCCGCTATCAATAGAGCCAACAAAAAATAATTGACTTAGAACAAAATTTTAGTATATGCGGTAATTTATTCACTGATCAATCTAAAAGAGTTATATGATGGACGTTGATGCACTACGAGCAGTACAAACAAGTGGCCCAACGACACCAAGCACGTGCTTGTTACGCGCGGGGCCCTTTTATCAATTTGGGCAAAAAATACGAGTTCGCGAGGAAGATACAAAAAACAAATAGAGACGGGACACAAATGAAAATAAAAGAAGCATCTAAGAATGAAGCAAATGAGTTAAAATATTAGTTTTTAATACCGGGATAGAAGTTGAAGTGCAAATTAAATGATAAAGGTTGTTATAATTATTACATAGAACGCGAAAGGGCTCGTGCAGACAAAAATTAGATGTACATCGTGGCAAATTTAGGGGATAATAATTTCGTGTTAGTCTAACAGGAACATTGAAAGTTAGGCGGTTTACAAGTTCTACAGAATCAGTATCACCTCTTATAAGATTTTGCATAAAATAGTACCAAGCATTGTTCTACGATTTGCAAGGGTAGGTAAATTAAGCAATAGTAATCTACTCTGATAGGAAGGTAGCCTTATGTTTTGATCCCAGTTCAAACTACAAAGGGCAAAAAGAAGAAATTTTTTTTGTACCGACTCAATACGGTCAATATGCACTTGGTATTGTGGACTCCAAACCGAAGAACAATATTCCAAAATAGGACGGACAAGGGAGGTAAATAATAATTTGGTTGTATAAGGGTCATCAAAAATTATTTTGACCAACGCTTTATAAACCCAAGAACACTCATGGCCTTGCTGACAGTGGACATTATGTGGCAGTCAAATTTAAGTTTTGGGTCCAGAAGAACGCCTAAGTCATTAACTGAATATATACGGTCGAGTGGCGTATTTTGAAGAGAGTAACTAACAAAAGTAGGAGTACCTCTATGAAAAGTCATAACGTTGCATTTAAGGCAGTACAAATTTAAAAGGTTATACTCACACCATCCCTGAAAACAATTAATATCTGACTGTAAGTTGAAACCCGACGCTATATCATTATGTGATAAACAAAGCTTAGCATCATCAGCATACATTAGTACACGAGAGTGTGTTATGATAGAGGGAAGATCGTTAATAAACAAAGTAAACAGCAAAGGGCCCAAATGACTACCCTGAGGCACTCCAGATATCACATAGATCAGTTTTGAGGCAGCGTTCTTGAATATAACCCTCTGAGTCCTACCATTCAAATAACTTGAAATCCAAGTTAATAGATTACATGGAAACCCAAGCTGATTTAATTTGAATAAGAGAAGAGAGTGGTTGACAGAGTCAAAGGCCTTACTAAAATCAGTGTATATAACGTCAGTCTGCATTTTATTCTTAAATCCATTTATTACAATAGATGACAATTCCAGAAGGTTGGTGGTAGTCGATCTTCGCTTAACAAAACCATGCTGACACGGTGATATTAGCGAGGAACATAAATGTTGCAAATGAGAAGTAATAATACGTTCAAATGCTTTAGGAATTGCCGACAATTTAGAAATACCTCTGTAATTCTGGGCATCCGCCTTCGCACCCTTTTTGTGAAGTGGAATGATAAAAGAGTCCTTCCAGATAGTAGGAAAACTGACGATGAAATAGACAAATTAAAAAGTTTAAGAATCGGTTTACATATGGTTGACGTACAAAACTTAAGCACACACCCGGGGAGTCCATCAGGACCGGGGGAATAAGTTGGCGTTGTTTTTTCTAAGTCTCTTACGAGAGAAATTTCCTTAATTTCAGGGGTAAAGATACAATTTGCCTTATTTAAGGGATTAGGGTAGTTAGAATTTGACCAAGCAGCCGAACTATAAGTAGTTTGGAATCATTGTTCATCTTAGTTCTAGATCATTGTCACTTAACAGGCAAATATAGAGGTGTAGCTCATAATAATTGCAATTTAAACTATAGATTAGCAAAATTTTTCCCAATATTTTTCCATAATCTCTCGGCATACGATGCTCATTTATTTGTGAAAGAATTAATTAAAATTCTTGGTGAAATTTCCATAATTCCGCTAAACAAAGAGTTTTATATTTCGATCTCAAAGAAAATTTATAATAGTCCCAATGAAATGTTAGAACTTCGATTTTTAGATTCATTTAGATTTATGTCTTCCAGCTTAGCCAGTTATTTAAATGAAGAAAATCTAACCACAAAAAAGTCATTTTTCACGGACTCGAACAAACTTCAAATGGTTAAAAGTAAAGGCATATTTCCGTATAGCTATTTAATTCAATTGTACGCTTAGCAGATATACAATTACCGTCGCGCGAAAATTTTTATAATCAATTAACTGATAGACACTGTTCTGAAGAGAGTTATCAGCACGCTCAAAACGTTTGGAATGCCTTCGAGTGTGCAAATTTATTAGATTATTTATTGTCATATTTGAAGGTAGATGTGCTGTTGGCTATGTGATGTCTTTGAGAATTTTAGAAAAATATGTAAAAAAATTTATAATTTAGATCCTTGTCAATATTATACAAACCCCTGGTCTATCATGGGATGCTATGTTGAAGACAACTAAAATTGAACTAGAACTTCTCACAGAAATTGATTTGTATAATTTTATAATGAAAGGTATTAGAGGCGGTCTTGTTAAATGTAGTAAACGTCATTCTA